TAAACGTATACGATTTTGCTACGAAACGCAATGGTGCGAGAAATATATGCTATTCACATCAAATAATGGTGCCGTTTTTGAAAAGAAGCCTTTCCGGAGATGTTTATTATTTTTTCGTTTTTGCTCCTATTTACTCTTATTTTCCTCGACTTCTTTATATGTATACGATATTGCTTCGAAAAGCGATGGTGTGAGAAATATATGTTATTCACATCAAATAATGGTGCCGTGTTTAAAAACAAACCTTTCCGGAGACGTTGATTATTTTTTCGTTTTTGCCCCTATTTACCCTTATATTCCTCGACTTCTTTAAATGTATACGAATTTGCTTCGAAACGCGATGGTGCGAGAAATATATGTTATCCATATCAAATGATGGTGTCGTGTTCGAAAACAAGCCTTTCCGGAGACGTTGATTATTTTTTCGTTTTTGCCCCCATTTACTCTTATTTTATTTGACTTCTTTAAATGTATATAATTTGGTTTCTAAACGCAATGGTGCGAGAAATATATATTACTCACATCAAATAATGGTGCCGTGTTTGAAAATAAGCCTTTCCGGAGACGATTATTTTTTCGTTTTTGCCCCTATTTACTCTTATTTTCCTCGACTTCTTTAAATATATACAAATTTGCTTGGAAACGCGATGGTGCGAGAAATATATGTTATTCACATCAAATAATGGTGTCGTGTTCTAAAATAAGCTTTTCCGGAGACGTTGATTATTTTTTTTAGTTTTTGCCCCTATTTATTATTATTTTCCTCGACTTTTTTAAATGTATACAATTTTGTTACGAAACGCGATGGTGCGAGAAATATATGTTATCCATATCTGATATGGGATATTATACCCACAAGGCTAAATCGGTCCGTTGACCGGTTGAGGAGGTCGCATCATGAGGGGACCAAAGAGATCGAGCAGTCAACTAATCGATCGAGCAAGGCTGTCGACCAAAACTATTCTTCGACCGGATGCACGATCGAATAACCTGTTCGAGCAACCTGTTCGACCTCGACAGGTCGGTTACTTCGAGGATTTAACACCACGTTGTTCGGCCTAGCTATAGGCGCGTGAAGGGAGCCTCTGACAGAATTCCAGGAGAATATTTACCCCATGTGAAGGAGACACGTGTCGGGAAGGCAGTGGCGGATAGCAATAACCACCTCTGACAGCATACCCCATTTGCAGGAGGACACGCGTCCAAAGACGATTGGTGCAAACGACAGTGGCGACGGCTACCTCTGACACACGCGTTTGGCGTGTACGGACGAGCAGTTAGGGCAGACAGCTCATCAAGTCCGGGCAGCCCTAGGTCAGGTATCCCACCCCTATATAAAGGGGGTGAGCCTTTCTTCTTCAACATGATCATTCTATTACTCTTGAGAATTGATTGAATACACACTGACTTAAGCATCGGAGGCTCTTCACCGGAAAACCCCTCCGGTGTGAGAGTTCTTTGCAGGTACACGACGTTCAACGGGCGAGAAGAAAGGAGATTACTCAAGTTCCAGCCGGTCGAGGAGTTTTGTGTTACCATTTGGCGCCGTCTGTGGGACTTTCGTTGCAAAAGGTGTGCTTGAAGCTCAGCTATGGCAGACGGAATTCCCAAAAACTTGCAGTCAACGTTCGATGATGCTTGGACGACGACCAGGCCGTTGGGGCAAGGTCCTCCTCCGGGTTTCTCGGGCCCATCGCAGACGCCGGTCACCCCCGCACCGGTGCTCCAAGGTGTAGGAGCGGCAACAGCGATCCCTGGAGGAAATACCGGCCCCAATTGCGCCCAGGAGGCTCGCGCAGCGGACGCGGCGGCGATGCCACCACCACCACCACCACAAAATTTGGCAACAGTACAACCAGGAGGAGCAGGGGAACAACGGGGAGGAGCGGCGGTCCAAGGAGGAGCGCCGCGAGCAGCGGTTCAGGTCCCCGACCAACCGGTGGTAATGACCAGGCAGGAGATGCAACAAATGGTGGCGGAGGCAGCTGCCCAGGCGGTTCAACATGTTACAAACAGTCTTTCTCGGGCTACGACTGCGCCGAATACTGTTGCAGGGTCACGACAAAATGCGGAGGAGGAGGAATCCAGCTATGGCGGAGGCGGGCCTGCGCATGACCGGGAGATGGAAAGGATGGCGGAGCAGCTGCGCCAATTGCAGGCTAAGGTGGATGGTCGAGCAGAGAGGCGCGCTCGAGGACATCCCTTCTCGGCGGACATACTGGCAGCGCCTTTGCCAAATAATTACAAGGATACCAACTTGGTGTTTGATGGGACCTCTGATCCGTCGAGACACGTGAGAACATTTGAAAATATTGCTTTGTTGCATGGATATACTGACCCTGTTAGTTGCAGGGCCTTTTATCGACCCTTAGGGGAGGGGCGCTCGACTGGTTCCAACAGCTCCCCCCAGGCTCGATAGTGGACTTTGGAGATTTTGCAGAAAAGTTGACAAATCAATATTCGAGCGCGGTGGCTCAGGAGAAGACGTATTTGACATTGATGGCGATGAGACAGGGCGAGAAAGAATCATTGCGCAAGTATGTTGCTCGATATAATCAGGCTTGTTTGGAGATTCCATCGGCGGTCGACGAGGTCAAGGCGGGAGGACTGATAAGGAGTTTGAGGGCGGGACCATGCAGAACTTCTTTGGCTAAGACCCCTGCCCACACGTATGATGAGGTATTTAGGAGGTGTAGAAAATATATCAATCTCGAGGAGACTGAGGCGGAGTTTGCCAAGCTGGAGGAGTTAGGTCGAGGGGAGTCGAGGAAGGAGAAAACGTTCTCGCCCAAAAGGAAAGTCTCGCCCAGGAGGGAGGGGCGAGCTAGGCAGGACCGAGGGCGAGAAGACAGGTGGAAGGATCGACCCATCTCTGGAGGAAAAAGATTCCATGATTACACCCCGTTGAACGCAAAAGTAGCCGAGGTTCTGATAGCTATGGAAAAAGGGATGGACGAGAAGGACGTAACGTGGCCTAGGTCGAGGTTCGAGGGGCCCACCCAACCGAAGTCGAGGAGATATTGCCGCTTCCACAAAGACTATGGCCACACTACTGAGGATTGTCGGCACCTCAAGGACGAAATTGAGCACCTCATTCGGGCGGGACACCTCAAGGAGTTTGTTTATCAGGACAAGGGAAGGAGGAAAGAAAAGAGAAGGTGTCGGGAGGACTCGGTAGAGAGGAGTGAGGAAGAGGATGATGAGGATGCGTGAGGTGGTCGATATGGTCGAAAGCGAGATGAGGGAAAGAGGAGGCGAGGAAGTAGAGAGCGAGAGAGAGAAGGGGATGGAGGCCAGGTGAAGAGAGGCACGATATATATGATCTCGGGAGGACCGACGGATGGGGACTCAAACAATGCGAGGAAAGGTCACGTTCGAGCAATGAAGAGGAAAAGGGAAGAGGTGAGTATCACGACCCGAATGCCGGTGATAAGTTTTAAGGCGGAGGATGCCGAAGGAGTGGTCCTGCCACATAATGATGCTTTGGTGATAACTGCAGAGGTCGCAAGATTTGATGTGAAGAGGGTGTTCATTGATACCGGGAGTTCGGTAGATGTGATGTTCTACGACTGTTTCGTGCAGATCAACAGGGAGCTGAATATGGAGTTGAAACCGGTAACCACGGCGCTGTACGGTTTTAATGGAGGAGAGGTTATGCCGATGGGAGAAGTCAGCCTGCCCGTGGCATTGGGATCAGGAGAGCTGAGAAAGGTGCGCATGGTGAGATTTGTGGTCGTAGGTGCTGAGTCATCCTATAACATCATCATGGGACGAACGAGCTTGAATGCATTCCAGGCGGTCGTATCCACGTACCACATGACGATCAAATATCCGGTGGGCGAAAACGTAGGAGAGATTGCCGGGGATCAGCTTACTTCGAGAAGCTGCTATCAAACGACAGTCAGCAATAACAGACAACTGGCAAAAAGGCAGGCCGAGTCAAGAGGGGA